ACGGGTCCACGTGGCATCAAACCGATGATTTCTAAAATGCGATTTCGATTTTATTTTTCGATTTGACGATTTTTGCTTTCAGCCGTATTACCATCAAATATGTCTATGTCATCAACACTACATATCATCCACCTTGAAATATTTTCTTAAGAAAATAATATAAACTCACGTTTTTACATGTCAACGATTTGTTATTTTTATCATCGAGATCAACATATTTCATCAGTTAACCTGATAGTAGTGGACATAGTGACTAAAGATGCAAGTAAATAGAAGTTGGGGGAGTTGATTGCATAAAATTGAAGATGAGTGACTAGATCTGTTAGAAAATCAAATTTGGGTGATATAATTGTACCAAATTGAAGATGGGTGACTTAGATGTACCTCCACATAAAGTTGGGTGACTCGCAATGCATTTAACCCTATAGTTTTCACTTACGATTAATTTGTATTTGTTTTACTTGGGAATCAACTGCAACAAATAGTAGCCTTGCTCGATTCATTATCCATTGGTGCTATCGCTTATTAGGAGGATTACTCAATACAAGCATACCGAGGATATCTCTTTTTTAGTCCTATACTTCTTCAAAAAATCGCGCTTTGCTCTATTTGCTTTAACTAATTGTAGATGAGAGTTTGCACCCATAGTTCACTTTGTTCCCCTTCAAAAACTCGAAACTTTCTATGGGGACCTATTGTTTTTTTTTTTCCTAAGCTTTCTCGATTACTATAGGCTGCAAGTATTACTGTAAGCTACTTTCAACAATTCGTGTAAACTATTTCCGTCAATCCTAGAGTGAGTTAAACCAACTTGAGCTAGACTTTTGTTGTCCGCGCTCCCTCACGCACACTTAAATTGCTTGAGGAGCTGCGACATGACGCTTATTCTATACCTTCGTCGGATCCATTAAGATTAAGGATTAGTCTCTAACAAGTAATTATGGGGTCGAAAGGCCAAAATATTTGATTAGAAGTTGTGAATATAGAAATTGGTACATCTAGCAAATAATTCACTTTAGGGTGTGTTCGATTAACTTTATTTTCATAAAAATTGTCATTTTTCCATCCAAATTTCTACTTTTGCAGTATTTGATTGACATTTTTTTTATGAAAAATATTTTTCTAAAGTTGATTACGTGATCATATTTTTCTCAAAAATAAGAAAAATGTTTTCTTTAAAGAGAGAGAGATTTTTATTTTCTAAGCAATTCATTCTCTCTACCAATAAAAGAGGGACAAGTATAACATTTACTAGGTTGAGAATTAAACAAATCAAATGCATTTAATTAATAATTTTCATGCAAATAAATCATAGACAATTTAATTACTTATAACTTATTTTCTTTTCATGCAAATTAAACATTTACGAACAAACAAATATAAAGAAAAAATAATATATAATTAAGATCGTAGGGTCAGAGGTAGCAAGATGAGATGGGTGTCTTCAGTTCATTATAGCAAAAGGTCCCAAAGTCAGCTACTTTGTTATGCTATTGAATTATGGAAAAAAGTCAAAATGAAAAATTATTGAATGTGGCCCATTCTTGATGAGGTTGGTGATGTGGCATGCTGTTTTAGAGATTGAGAAACATGTATTGACATTTACAATAAGGTTGTCAAGATTTGAGAGCGAATGCGATACATACACGAAATTGTGTGCATGAATAATAGTTTTCTAGATCCATTATTAATTAAAGTTAGAGTCGAAACAAGAACATGAGAAAAACGTTACTCAACTGAAATTTGGAGAAAATGTTCAATAAGATTACACGTTTTCGATTTAATAGTGAAATAATATTAAAAAATCGATCTGAAATTTATTTAAAATTATCTTTAATTTGTTAAGATTTTCATCTAAGCCACATAATTAGACTTTCAAACTCAGCATTTGAAGCGCTCAACTATTTTGTTATTGTTATTCTAAATTGAGGATATTAATCCAGTTATATAACAGCCAACTGTCCAAATATCATTACATCACTATACAATTATTTCAGTGACAATATAAATATATATTTTTATCGTGCAAACGTGAACCATAAAATTGAAAAGAAGAACAATAAGACCGATACACATAATTTTAAGCAACTCGGCAATGGGCCTATGTCCACTGTACGACGCGAATAATCCACTAAATTCGAATAGGGTTATATTTATATAGAACCTTAATCTTGAAATTATTCTAATAATACCGTACTGTACCACAAGGGCTCAACCCTCGCACCGCCAACTTATCCGCGTCTAACCTAATGAGTTAGTTGATTTCCCGGATCTGAGTGAACCACCCAATCAACATTTTTCAATTGTAAGCAAAAGTCGGGTTATTTACTTAAATGATCACTTGAATTTTATCAAAGTTGTCATGGGTCACTGAATTTAAAAATAACCCCTATTAGTCACTTAATTTTGAAAATTGGTACTCCATCCATCAATGCGTAAATGATGGTTGCAAAATTGGAAGGATTTGATAACATGCCCAACGGCATCCTTATGTGGCATGCATTTGAAAACTATAAATCAGATTTCTACATAAATCATGCTATAATTAGTTATAAACTATAATAATACAGCTAATAAAGTTTGTGAAATTTAGATTTCGAAATTCTCTACACATTTGGATAAAAATCACGCATTCAATAGTCATTTAAAAAAAAAAACCCAAATATGCATTGGATGATTTATAAATTAAAAGGGCCACATATCTACAGACTCATGCTCAACGTCATTAAATCTTTCTAATTTTGCAAACGTCGTTTATGCAGTGATGGATGAAGCATCAATTTTCAAAGTTAAGTGACTAATGGGGACAGTTTTTAAGTTTGGTGACCCCATGGAAAATTTGAGAAAAGTTCAGTGATCATTTAGGGAATTAACCTGCAAAATTATAACCTAGCTCTGATTTTCTGCATGTCACTGTATTTGTCTATAAATGATGCAAAATAAAATAGACAGATTGGGAGAAAAATATGTTCTAAGAATGAAACATTGAAGTACCATAATTAATCTCATAGGAAAACATGTTATAAGAATTTCAGATTAAATTTTCATTCATTGCCTTGCGGACTTTTTACATGTCAAAAAAATAAAAATAAACAAAAATAGAATTGAACCTAGTATCTTACACTATATCCTCTAATCCCTGAGTTTCTAACCTTGTGGGAAAATGAATAATTGCTGACTTTATGAAGTTCTTTAAACTTCAGTTATCGAAACTCCTTTAGCTTGTTTTTTACAGTATTGTAATGGATAGTCGATTATACGGTCCAATCATCTCCAATATAGAGTATCAAACGTGCCCTTTATGTACAATTGGCTTTCTCAGGCCGGTTTAACACCCAAAATCTTCTTGTTGAATTGGTGTTTTTTTTACTGTTTCCATTCCTCTTTAAGTGACCTGACGATCTCTTCTGCATCAAGAAAACTGTGGAAAATTTCTTGAAAATTCTCCTTTATATGTCAGGACGGCTTCTGTTTTTTGAGGTGCAAAATTCTATCTTTTGAGAGAGAGAGTAATGGGCAAACCATTCTGGGGAAGAGCAAAGGGTGCATACTGAATCTCATTTTGTGGGCCCACCATAGACCACCTGTAAGGATAGGGATGAACTTTCCATCAGGAGATAACATCAAACTTGCTATTTTTAGGATCTGGGAAATTTTTATGCAACAGATGAAAAGACTGTTAATTTAAGGTTTTTCCTTTTTACCTATAATTTGTGGTCAAATGATGTACAAGGACTAAAATCTCAGTCTTGGCTAATTCATTCCCTGGACATGAGTGGATCCCATTGCCAAATGGCATAAATGTATTGGGCTTTGGAGCAACCTATCAGATATAAAAGATTTTGGATTAAGCCTCAGAAGTGAAGAAAGTTTATAATAAAACTGTGTCTCTAATGAATTTTGTGCCTCAAGAATGGTAAATTTACCTCAAATCTTGAAGGATCAAATTTCTCAGGGTCTGTGAAATTTTCTGGGCTGTGGTGAATGTTTCTAAAGAGTGGTAAAACTTTCCATCCTTTTGGTATAAGATAGCCTGTAAATTTACCAGTAGATAAATATCAGCCAAACTTGAATGGGAAAAGGGTAAATTTTTCAAAAAAAATTTAATCTTATTCTGGTTTTAACTTACCTTTAAATTCAACATCTTGAACAGCTTCTCTGAAAGTAAAAGATAGGATAGAGGCAACTCTGAGTGTTTCTTGAATTACCCTTGTGGTAATTGGCATTCTCTTGGTATCTGCCCAACTCAGTGCCTTTTCTTCACCAGATTCCTCTTTCGAATTAATTATTGCTTCTTGTTCTTCCTATAATCACAAAAACAATACAAATAATTGAGTCATCTGCAAGAATTTTTTTCAATTATCAGTATATAAGCAAATGGGATTTAAAAGCTTACAGTGACAGATTGTAGGACGCTTGGATTTTCCGCTAGGTACTTGATAATCCATGTCAGTACACTAGCAGTGGTATCTCTTGCAGCAAAAATGACACCGATGATGTTGTCAGCAATTTGTTCATCCGTTAGTCCTTCGTGATCGCACATAAATGATCCAAGCAAATCGCTGTAATCTTGCTTGGTTTGCCTGCGAAGGGACAGGATTTTGGCCAAGATTTGTGCCAATTCCTTCCTGGCTTTCATGGCTTTGTAAAACAGTGTTCCAGGGATGTTAAAAGGCATTGAATTGTACCCTTTTTCAAGATTGTAATAACATCTGTTGAGGTCTTCTCTGTACAAAACTTCATCCTTTCCAAATATGGACAGTAAAGCCACATTAAAAGTGTACTGCAGTACAGAAAAAAAACATACAGTTTTGATCAGAACTCAATGTTTCAGATTCAAAAAGAGGAACACTCTGTTTTTTCCAAGGCAGAACATAGAACATACTGTTTTCATTTCTTGGAAAGTAGTGATCAATTTTCCTTCCCATGACTTGAGGGAGCTAATTGCGACCGACTCGATGTCTGGTACGATGTTCTTGATCGATTCAGGCATGAATGCACGAAGAACTAGCTTGCGAAGTTTAGCGTGATACTCGCCCTGATGAAAGAAAATAGCCTGTTTGCCTAACATTCTCTCTTTGCTTGCAGGGAAAGTGGGCTTGAAGAGATTTGATTTTGTGACAAGCACAAGTTTTGCAGCTTCTGGGCTTGAAATCATCACACAAGGACACCCCAATATGTGAGTCTTGAATATGGAACCATATCTATTAAAAAAAAAAAAAATCAGAACAAAATAACATTCTTTGTAAGAATCTTGAAATCAAGAAAAATCAGATAAAGGGTATGAGTCTATGAGAATTTGGACTCACTTTTTGACTTTGGAAGCAAAGAAAAGATTTGGGTTTTGTGAATAAAGTTGAAAGGTTTCTCCTATGTAAGGCCATCCCATGGTGCCTGGTGGAAGTGGCAATTTCACTTGGCCAAAGGAGAAGAATTTAAGGATGGCGTTGAGGGACAAAACTAAAGCTGCAGTTAAGAAAAAACATATGCAGATGAATTCCATGGTTGTGTAATAATGGACAGTACAGAGAGAGTACTATCAGTAGTACCAATGAGTAGCTTTTTGGTTCTTGACGAAGAAAAGGCAGTGAATCAAAGGGGTATATATAGGTGGGGGGTGGGTGAGGACGGTGCAAAGAATGGGCCTTTCAAATACAGCTCGAATTCAACACACGGAATCTCCCTCCAGCTCATGCATTTTGGATAGAAACATGAGTGAGAGAGCTATACACAAGTGTGTGTATATGTAAGTGTATGTATAGGACGTGAGAGAGAGGGCAAGTGTGAGACTGAATGAATAGAAAGAGCGTGTGGGGTAGAGAGAGAATTGGGTTGAGTTGACTCATGAAAGGGGGGTGGGTGCAAGGAAACAGCGCCAGCCTTCTGGTTGGAGTTTGGCTGTTTGGGAAAAAGGCGCAGGGGGGATGAATTTACTATCCGTACAATCACATACAAACTGGAGGGGCAAAAAAAATATCACACATACATCAAAATTTATATAATACTCTATCATTTGTTAGTTTAAAATATAATTAATTTTTCCATCCAATATTTTCCCTTTACATCATATATTATATAATTCATTATATACAAGTTTTTTATGTACAAGTGGCATAATCTTATTTCAAATTCCATTTTTTTTAAATCTTTCAATTATTGGGTTCATATTTTGCATACATATTATCCTCTTTTGTGTGTGTATATATACATGTATAGCAGATTATGAGTCGAACATTTTTGCTCAAAATCACTCGATTTGAACCAGTTAGCATCGATCTTATTCTGGATATTAAAATCAAGATCTGACGATTCTAATCTGGGTTCTAACTACAAAACCAAATTTGTGATTTTAAAAATATTTTTACTAAAAAATCATAATTAATATTTGAAAAAACAAAGCTTGAAAGTAAAATAAGAAAAAAAATAGAGGAAATTACATAATACCAGGTGTTTAAAGATCACAATTCAAAAATCAGGTCTAAAGTTTCATTATTCATAAATCAGGTATCAATATAATAATTAAATATTAAATATATCCACCTAATTATTCCAAACCCTAATCATTTTACCTTATTTTCTCTCTCTCTCTCTCTCTCTCTTCTCCATTCTCTCTCTATATTCTCTCCCTGTCGTAGATCGCCGTCGACGAGAGGGCTTCACAAATAACAATCGACGGCTTCTCTGTGCCTGATCGCCTCCCCTCTTCACTGTGCAGTGGTCGAGGGTTGCTGAGAGTTCTTAGCAGCGTCGTCAGCGGTCGAGGGCTTCACTGCTGAGAGTTCATCTATTCTGTTTTGAACACAAATTAGTTCTTGCAATTCCCTTTCATCTTCTTTTTTTAATTTTTGTTGTGGTGGTGGTGTTTGCGTCGGGGTGTGGTGGTGGTGTTGATGCTGGTTGTGTTGTGGTGCAGAGGTGTTGTGGTGGGTTTGTGGGTTGAGATCTGGTTGGTGGCGCGGTGAGTGGTGTGCGGTGGAGGTGGTGGTGTGAGTTGTTGTGCGCGGTGGAGCCGTGGAGGTGTAGTGATGTTTTTCGATGGGGGTGTTTTGTGCGGTGTCTGGCGATGGTGGATTTGGCGGTTGTGTGGTAGTGATGTACCACAGTCGTTGCTGGTCAGATCTGCTTGGGGCGGTGGTGGCATTGTCGGTGTGCGGTGATATTTGCCCATGTGTGGTGGGTTAACAATGGTGATGGCAGTCGACGGTGGTGTAGGTGAAGGATCTGGCGGATCTGGTGATTTTGGTTTTGTGACTAAAAATATAATATGTGACCTTAAAATTATGGTAATCTGTGGCTAAAAAGATAATTTGTGACCAATCATTTTCTTATATGTGACCTAAAAATTATACAATTTGTGACATTGAAAAAATTTGTAACCAACTAATTTAGAAATCTGTGAATATGTGACCTATAAATTTTTATTTGTGACCAACGAATTAATTGTGACTTATAAAATTTTTGAACTGTGACCGTAAAATAATATATGACTATTTAAATTGTGAATCTGTGACCATATTTTATAAATTATCGGAATCGGAGCAATCGTCGGAACGGTCGCCGGAATAGTCGCCGAATTGCCGGAGAAGAGTGGTGGTCGATGGTAGGGGTGGTGTAGGTGAGTGAGTTAATTATATTATATTAGAATTAAATATTTAATAATTAATTAATAAAAATATTTTTAATTAATAAATAAATACATGAGTTTTGCATTTTGAAACTTGACAC